TTTTTTCTATGTTATTTTATGAATTAATTTTTATATTATGTGATAGAACAAAAAGGCTTCCCAATGAGGACATCGACGAAGATATGGAAGATGATATTGAGGATATAGATATAAATGCTGTAACAGACTCGGAAGAAGAATATACGGAAACTGAGAGAAAATTGCTAGAAAAGGTACGACAACAACGTGTTACTGAAGACTTTGATAGTGATGATGAAGTCTACAAACTGCAAGATGAAAGCGAAGATGATCAGCAAGATTCAATGGAATCTGACATTGAAGGAGCACAAGAGGATTATGATATGCCAAATGATAGAGCTTGGGGCAATAAGGCAAAAACTTTTTATTCATCAGATTTCAAATATACAGATTATGCATCGGCGCCTCAGAAGGACTTGGTCAATGCAGACATGGAAGAGGAAGAAGGAAAAAGGCTACATTTAAGATCGATGGGACAACATTTAACTCTTGATGGTTCAAATTTTAGTAAAAATAAAATATCTGAAGTCATAGAGGACAGCAAAATTGTTCAGGAAGATAATGAACTAGTATCTGATAAGGAATCTTTTATGATCATGATCGATACTTTTAAAGGTAGCAATTATTGCCTTTTACATCTAATTTATTATTGGTTATAACAATTAGTGTCAATTTTTATAGTGATAATAAATAAATGTATAATGTATTTTTCTATTTTTGACATACTCTTCAAAGTTCAAAAATCTATATATACGAATATACACTTTTTGGCTAAATGAAAATTATATTTTTTGTATGTTATTATATAATTATAAACAAATACTGTTAGAAATGTTTATCACATTAAATAAGTATTTTTTTTATTACAGAATATATGACAGAGGCAAAGAATATTTTGGTACCTTTCCTCGAATTAGTAAAAAACGGAACATGTCCCGATTGTAGTGCAGTAACTTTCGTCAGAACCAAATATGAGATTATATTAAATTATTGTATAAATATTTCATTTTGTTTAATGCTGAGAGCCAAGGAATTACCAGTGAAGTCGCATCCGGTGATAAAGCGTTTGGAGCAGTACCATCAACTGCTTCATCAATTACAGTCGGAGCAGGGAAATTTGTTAGAGGAAATAACAGAGATATTGAAAGCAGTGAAAGAAGGCAAACCTCTGTATAGCATATCAGATTCTCAAAAACAAATTAATGAAAAATCTCCAAGATCTACTAGTTTGATTAAAAAATTGGCGCATAAAAAAGAAATTATGGAACATTCACTATCCGATAGTTTGGATGAGGAAATGACTACAGATGAAGAGCTGGATATTGAAGAGAAGCATGATAACAAGATAATGATTGACGAGAAAGACAATAATACAAATGAAGAGATAGCCAAGAGACCAATAACATACCAAATATTAAAGAATAAAGGTCTCACGCCTTATCGCAAGAAGGAACTGCGCAATCCGCGAGTAAAACACAGAAATAAATATCGTAAAGCCAAGATTCGCAGGAAGGGTGCAGTAAGTATAAAGAATAAAGATCAAACTTTTATTGTTTTATATGAAGATATTTGGGATGTTTTACAAAAAAATTATTTTTTGTAGGTACGAGAAATAAGGAAAGAATTGACTCGCTATGCAGGAGAAATCTCAGGTATCAAAGCAGGTGTAAAGAAAGGCATTAAATTGAAGTGATAAATGAAAAAAAGGAATTTATCTTTATTGATCATATATGTGATCTGATGAATATCGTATATTCAATTGTGTATTCTAATTAAATATTAATTTCTTATTAATATATATTTAAAATTCATTATTCCTTATATATCATATACTTCTAAATCGTCTAAAAATTATTGACAAATCACTATTTCTGTGAATATAGATCAATCAATGTAACTTGCTTTTTATCTTTTTGTAATTCTAAGAATTAAAGTCTATGAACTGAGATTATTAAATTGATTTATTATTGATAGAAATAATTAATAAGATTAGAATCCTTCTCTACCTTGAATATATTCCCTTTGAAAAAAATATTGGAATGCAATGATTTCCTTGCTTTCTGACAAAATCATCATTGATATTAAAATAATAAGTTATATAATGATAATAGCATAAATACAATAGATAAATGCTTTATTTTATCAGAAAATTGTATGTATAGTAAGAAACAATGACATCTTAGCAGTAACAAATTCTTTGAAGAACTTAGGTCTTTTTAAAAGAACTTTAGATTGCATGTGAATCAATGTATACATGTTTTCGCTGTTCATGAAATTCTAGAACGATTTATAGCATTAACAAAACTGAAGAAAACGCAACTTAAATTCAACGAGTTAAACTTCTACTTTGGCTAATATATCCGATTCGCGGAACAAGTGGTATTCTTTGTTGTCCTCAAGCTCAACTTTTGTGCCACCATATTCGGGGAGTAATACAACATCTCCAATTTTAATACTTAAAGGCACATGTTCTCCTTTCTGATAAAAAAAATAATAATTATTAATAAATATTTTTGAATAGTTTTAAAAGAAATTATAGAAATTGTTTTATGTACATACATCGTTCCTCGCTCCAGGACCTGTGGCTATAACAGTGCCTTGGAGAACTTTTGCTTGCGCTTTTTCTGGTAATACAATACCACCTTTCGTTTTCGTAATAGCTTCAGCTCTTTGTACGAGAACTCTATCAAAAAGAGGAATCAGCCTCTTCACAGCATTGGCAGCCTGAAAATATATAGACAGTTATTGACAATAATTAATCTGTACATTTCGACTTCAAATTTTAAGCTCAGTTGTGTCAAGAAGTTATAAACACATTTCAATCAATATAGATTAATTTTAATCTTGAATTAATTTATTCTTTTTTAATTTTTTAGAATTAAAAAAATGATAAAAAATAAACTGAAATTAAGCAGAAATTAAAGTTAATTTGTATTGGTAAAAATGGAGATGATGATTAATCTATTAATCAAGTCTTTATTCATTAATTAATGACTAAATTCACAAAGTTCCATTAAATATATCTAATTTATACAATTAATCACTTCCACAAATACATATTTGACAGAGAAATTCAAAAGGATGACGATAAAAGTTGCTACAAACAAAACTTCTTTTGTGACAAAAGATTTAGCAAAAAATACCTGCATATTTAATTATTAAATTATTATACGAATAGCGAGGATAAAATCTCAATCGAGATACCGATTCCTTTCAATCTCTACAAATTCATAAACAAATATGATTCGCGTCGAGGCGACTGGCGACAATGACGAGAAACGACAAAAATATTTCAGATTCGTTCTCGAAAGTCGTTATAGCATCGTTCTAAGCGTAGATAGAACATCGTCGCGTAGATATGAGGATCATTCGAGGGTTATCGAAAAATAAAGAAACGTGCTGACATGCAAATTTTTCCCGCGAGAGAGAAAAAGACAAAGAGAGGAATTCTCGCTGTCGTCTCTTTCTCACGTTGATCTACGGAGAACCATATCTCACCATAGTTGTAGATCTTCTTTCGCAATCACCGAATCGATCAAAATGCGAAACCGGCGGCGAACGCACGTTGTCGACGACTCGTGCACGTTGTGTAACCTAAACTGCGATCGGATCGGACCGGACCGGCAAGCAACGAGACGGGGCAGTGCACGCGCGCGCGCGAACATCACGTTCTCGAAGCTTCCTTTCCGTGATGCTGCCCCTTCCTCCGACCTACCTCCGCTCTTCTTCCACAACGCGTATCGTGTACATTGATCAGAGAAGGATCGCGAATGGTTACGTAAGAAACGCGACGCTTGCGAGGCGCACCATCGATCATAGAACAGATTTTCTCTTTTCTACAATTTTAAGGAATTTTCATTTTATTTTGAGCAAGAAATCCCTTCGTTAATTTCTGATGGTTTTTCGCGAGACGATTCGAAAGGGACAGAAGGGAAAGAAGAAATTTTGATATATTTTGCCAGACAATACAAAGTCCACAATTTTAAAAATGCTTAAAGATCTTTCCATATAATAAAATCGTGTTGTATATATTAATATATTCATTGCTATTAATGTAGATTAATTTCAATCTTTATCTCTAGTTCTAAAAATGGAAAAAAAATGAAAAGTGAGTTCAAAACTGAGAATAAAATTAATCTATGTTGCTAAAAATGAACATAGAAAATTTTAAGATCTAATTTTAGACTTTGAGTTTTCTGCAAGTTGATTTTCTGTACTTAAAATCTATTTTATATCAATTTGAGAAATTTATAAAAAGAGCTGTAATTATGCAATCTATGCTTTCTATAGAAAAACGAGCAATGTCTGATTCTCCATAGAAATATTGATAGACTGTAGATAACTATAATAGCATGAGATAAAAAAGATAAGATTAAGTCATAGACATAATTTCTTATTAGGTGAATTAATATTTAAGGTGAAATACATGTTCGAAGTTTGATGAAACCGAAAATAAAATTTTAGTATAGCAGTAAAGTAGTAAATCCATTTTAATGCAATAATAAAGTAGTAAATCTATAAATATAGCATCCATAATAAAATCAAACAATAAGAATTCTTTCCTCTGTCGAATTTGAATTTTTTTTTTTTGTATGATGCAACATACAAAAACCATTATCTCTACGTTTGACGAGAGCAAAGGCATAATGCAAGATGCTTTCTTTCTAATATTTCCGATGTATATGTGAGGTTATTGATGCCTTATCACGCAAAGTTATACATATCAAGACATATATACACATATCTTTATCTCAGGACATTAATCATTCCGCGTATACCCGTGGCATTGAAAAACAAATTGTCCCGCATTATGAATAAATCTAATTAAAATTGCAACTTTATTTTATCGTTTTTATAAATTTCCATGTAGAAGGATCATTGTATCTTATAACAGCGCGATAACTAACGAAGAAACATAAAAAAAATGACCGTTGTCGACCGGCCGATTGCATCACGCAGAATCGCCGTACTTTCTAGAACCTACGCCACGCGGATTCAGCTTCGTTGAATCTCTCGGCATATCGCAATATTAAAATCGAGAATTTTCGATTGAACTTTGAAAGAAAATAGCTCCTGCTAATATCCAGTATGATCAATTCTCACATATGATATCGGGTCAATTATCAATGTTTCATTATTCAGGATTAATCCATTACATTAAGGTTAAGTTCAATCGAATTGTTGATGGGCGAGGGGAGAAGTGGAAAGAATAGAAGATCACTCATTCAACGATAGACAGAGATATCCTTCCACCGTTTAGCTCTCGCCAATGCGTAAGAAGTCACGTGACTAGCCAGCCATACATGTACTTAGATATATTGATGTAGGAACTTTTGGAACCCGGATGTACATTTTCAATACCTTTTTATTTATATTAATAATGATGTATATCAATGAATAAAATTAAAATTTAGTTTAATATAAAATTGAATATTAGGTTAAAAATATATATGTATACACGTCTAATCTAAGGAAATCACATCAAAATAATAATTACTCATAAAATTAATATTATAAGTTTATTGTTTAAATTTTAACAGCCATGCGAATTCCCATAAATTTGTCGGTCTTTATTATTAATTAATTTACTTATTAATCAATAACTTAAATCAGTTTATTAATTAATAAACCGATGAAACAACGATAGGAGGTTTGCGCCATGTATCTCGGTGAAGTACGCACGCCATTGAGAATCGTTACCGCGCACGCGTGAAAAGATCCCCGTCTCCCGTCGCTACACCCATGTGATAGCGCACATTCTCGTCTCTTCGGAGCACTCGTCTTCTACTCGTGAGACAACGCTCGGTTCACGCCGTACCGATCTTTTATCTACTCAGCTTCCGATACTGATCATCGATCCGTCCCGTTGCGGAATCACCAAGGAGAATCGAAGGTGAGTCGACCACAAGCCACGAAATTGCACCACGTGCTTTTCTGGGAAGTTCGAGAAGGTTCGCTGGGGCGAGTTTTTAGCCGGCCGGGGCATTCCTCGCACGCGAGCAATGGCGAAATATCTTCTCTCTCTCCTCTTATAAATAATTTGTGGAAGAGAGAGAAAGAGGAAAAAAGACAAATGCATGCGATTAGTCGAGCGATGATTTTCAGTTCCCGCGGGATCTCGTAAACGTTAACCTCCAATTGTCACACCACGCGAGACTTTACATAATCGCACTTCATTGCGGTGAATAATCGGCTATTGTTTATTTCTGCCAATGTGGATTAACTTTAATCTTAATTTAATTTACTTTTTTAGTTCTTGAAATTAAAAAGAGATAAAAAGTTGATTAATTCGAACTGAAGTTAATTTATATTCATAGAAATTTCTATAAATAAAAAGTCATTATTATTATTTAAAAGAATTTTTTATGATTGAAAGGGTTTGCATCAGATGATTTAAAGTTGAAAGATTATTGTATATTTTTTTTACAGATGTATCGACTACCTATCATGTTAAGAGGAGCTGCCTTACGCCAGTTGCAGGCGCGCAGTTATGCCAAAGATGTACGTTTTGGCGCGGAGGTTCGTGCCTTAATGTTGCAAGGCGTAGACATTTTGGCAGATGCCGTTGCTGTAACGATGGGTCCTAAAGGACGTAATGTTATATTAGAACAAAGCTGGGGAAGTCCAAAGATCACAAAGGATGGTGTGACAGTGGCAAAGGGTGTTGAGTTAAAGGACAAGTTTCAAAATATTGGAGCTAAATTAGTACAGAATGTAGCTAACAATACTAATGAAGAAGCTGGTGATGGCACTACAACTGCAACTATATTAGCCAGAGCAATAGCCAAAGAAGGATTTGAAAAGATTAGCAAAGGTGCCAATCCTATAGAAATTAGAAGAGGTATGTTTTTGATATATCACATTAATGTATATGAACAGTGTTTGTCTTATATTTCGCAGTCTTAAGAAACCTTGAACTTTGACCTAAGATATAAAAAACTATCTACATGTATTACTGACAATATTTTTTATGAAATATGATTTACTGATTTATTGAGAATATTTTTATAACGAGTTCTCCGAAATAACATTTAAGAGTCTGTGGTCTTTTGTAGGTGTAATGTTAGCAGTAGAGAAAGTTAAAGATGAATTGAAGACTCTAAGTAAACCTGTTACGACACCCGAAGAAATTGCTCAAGTAGCGACGATATCAGCTAATGGCGACAAAGCGGTTGGCAACTTGATCTCGGACGCTATGAAGAAAGTTGGAAAAGAAGGTGTAATTACCGTGAAGGATGGCAAAACACTTGACGACGAGTTGGAGGTCATAGAAGGAATGAAGTTCGACAGGGGCTATATTTCTCCATACTTCATCAACTCTAGTAAAGGAACCAAGGTCGAATTCCAAGACGCGCTCATTCTTTTTAGCGAGAAGAAAATCTCTTCCGTTCAGAGCATTATACCCGCTTTGGAACTGGCAAATTCGCAACGCAAACCTCTTGTCATAATTGCTGAGGATGTGGACGGCGAAGCCTTGTCAACCCTTGTTGTCAATCGTTTGAAAATTGGATTGCAAGTGGCCGCAGTTAAAGCTCCCGGTTTTGGTGATAATAGAAAAGCAACTCTTCAGGATATGGCGATATCTACCGGTGGTATTGTGTTCGGCGACGATGCCAATCTCATCAAATTAGAAGATGTTCAGGTAAAAATATCTATGCATTAGAGTCTTGATTAATAAATTATCTTTACATTACGTAAAAAAAAGTTTGATCTTGATTATGTTTAAAACTTATAATCTTTAATAGGACACGATTACAATGGAAAATTTTTTATTTAATATATGATATAGTAAAAGCCGAAAGTTAAATCTAAATATATAATATTAATTAAATATAATCTTCTTTTGCAGGCAAGTGACTTGGGTCAAGTAGGAGAAGTCATCATTACGAAAGACGATACTCTCATCTTAAAGGGTAAAGGAAAGAAAGCTGATATCGACAGAAGAGCCGATCAGATCAGAAATCAAATCGAAAACACCACATCCGACTATGAGAAAGAGAAGCTGCAGGAACGTTTAGCTAGATTAGCATCCGGTGTTGCTGTCCTGCGAGTTGGTGGAAGCAGCGAAGTAGAAGTTAACGAAAAGAAAGACCGTGTGCACGATGCGCTCAACGCCACTCGTGCTGCCGTTGAAGAAGGAATCGTTCCCGGAGGTGAATATGATTAATCTCTAACTTGTCCCGACGTAGCACACAAACGTAATGTTAAACGTAATGTTATTGGTTTCTTACAGGTGGCACCGCACTGTTGAGGTGCATACCAGTATTGCGACAGCTGAAAGCTGTGAACGGCGATCAGGAGACTGGAATCAAGATCGTAGCGAATGCTTTGCGTATACCATGTCTGCAAATCGCGCAGAATGCCGGCGTCGACGCTAGCGTTGTAGTAGCTAAAGTAAGCGAAGGCAAGCTCGGCTATGATGCCTTGAATGATGAGTACGTCGATATGATCGAGAAGGGCATCATCGATCCCACGAAGGTAGTGCGTACAGCACTTGTAGACGCCGCAGGTGTGGCCTCGCTCCTGACGACGGCGGAAGCAGTCGTCACCGAATTGCCCAAAGAGGAACAGCCACCGATGGGCGGTATGGGTGGCATGGGCGGCATGGGTGGCATGGGTGGCATGGGTGGCATGATGTAAAGATAGAAATTTAAGACAAAGACTGAAGAAGAGACAGTCCGTGCTGCAATCTTGCTCGAAACGCGATTACGCCGTGCAACGTTGTTCAAATAGTTCTGAACATTGGTTCCGTTCGAACGGAATGAAGGAAATATCCGTACGGTCTCGTACAATTTGTACTTTGAAACATTACAGGCGATAAGATATGAAACCATTGTTACGAAGCGCTGTTTCACACATTTATTTTATTCTACGAATCTGTAATTGTTATGAATACAATTCGCGTTAGTTTTATTTCATTTAATAAACATAAAATATAGTGCATTTCCAAAGGTTTCAAATGGCATTTAATGTAAAAATAATTATGTGAAACGAACTTGTTAACGAGTGTATACAGAAGATGGAATTACGATAAATAGACAATTCAATAACTTTTAAATAAAATTTCAATAATTCTATCCATCGTTATATATCTCATATTCCATATTTACGATTGTTTCACAAATCCAGATGCAAAAATGAACAGCTTTTGTGTTCAACGCTTATATTTTATACAAAAAAAATTTTCTAGTTATAGTAACTCACAAAAGACGCAAATGTAAAAATGAATGTATGCTTTAATTATGGAAGGTTAATTATTTAGACTTTCATAATTTTGTAATGTTAAATTTATTTTCTGTCTGAATAAATGTATGTTTAAATTACAATTGATCTCTCCATGCTGTACTTATAATATTACAAACTATATTATGCCAATGAATAAATAATTAAAAAGGTTGATAAGTACAGAGAGAAAAGTTTTATTTAGAATAGGATATAAATATATATATTATTACATTACTTTTAATTATATTCCTTTTCTTAAACAATGGAACGTAAGTTAATGACGATATAAATATATCAAGATACAATTTGTCACCATCTCTTAATTTTATACGAAATTTCGTGATCATCTCAAATATCTATTGACATTTATATTTTCAGAATATTATGCTTATGGAATTTTAAACTATTATTATTTTCTGAAATCATAAACATTCAAGAAGATATTTAGGTTGATCATATGCGTGATTACTTGAGACGACAGGTATAATGAAAAAATATTCTTATCATATTCATGCTTTTCCATATTATCTCATATTAGTATATGAAATATTTTTGTTTAAATTTTGAAGTAATTTTGAAGTAATGCGTAAATTATTTTAGTGTCAAGGAGAACGTTGTAACATTATATAAACAAAAAATAAACATTCCATTAATTTTTCTTCGGTAAGCAAATTGGAGTTTTTAATGATGCCAAATAGATCAGTATATTTTATATGTATGTATATTTAGCACATACAATATAAAAACAATTTCAATCATGTCTAATTGCCTTGTTTTGATCCAATGAATTATATAAAATATAGCCAGACAAATAGAGAAAGAGAGGAGTACAAGACAAAAGAAAAGCAGTTTCCTAGTGTAGTCACATCGTCACATGGTTGGAAAAGAAATATTTCATATTCAAAATACAAAGAGAAGTCCCCTTTAAAAAACATTATATTAAAGCCTAGGTACATCCTTAATAAAAAGCATAATATCTTAAGCTCCGATTTTTTCAATTTCATCCGCATCCTCCGCGTCGAGGTAATGGATTTTCTTGCCAAAATGTCTCTCTATATCTTTGCACAATTGCATCGCATGCGGCGAGTCGATCAAATTGATGGCAATTCCTGACTTGCCAAATCGCCCCGTTCTTCCGATTCTATGCAAGTATGTCTCACAATCAGCTTGTCGCTTTTGGTCCATCGGCAGATCGAAATTGACTACTATCGTCACCTGTTCCACATCAATGCCTACCACAAATATTAGTATGTATATATGATTCATATAATATATTACCATATATTATATGAATCATATATACATACTATATATTGAAATTTATTTGTATCTACCTCTAGCTAAAACATTCGTAGTGATAAGAACTTTTTCAAGCCCTGCTCTAAATCTGTCCAATACAGAAATCCTCTGTTCCACTGTCAAGTCACCAGATAATATTGCTACCGCGTGTCCGTCTTTCGACATTTTTTCTGCCAACCAACTAGCTGTCTTCTTTGTCTGAAAAATAAAATGACATTACATATCATTATACATGAATAGCTGCTTGTAGAATATAATAAACAATTAATATACATTCGATCTTACATGACAAAAGATAATCGCCTGTCCGATAGTAATCACGCCGTAGATATTAGTGATAGCTGCATATTTTTCGTCTATATTTTCGCATTTGATATAATATTGTTTAATATTATCTAAACTCTCTTCTTCTCTTAATAACCGTATTATTAGTGGATTACTGACTATAATCTCTGCAAAGTTCATCACTTCAGGCTCATACGTCGCAGAGAAGAACATCATCTGACATGTACGTGGCAGTAATCTATAATATGAAATAAATATACCTTAAATATTTCATGAAAGATTTAACCAATTAAATATTAAACATTTTTGAAAAATTACTTGTGGATACGAATACATTGATCTTGATGACCCTGTGTAGCAATCATAACGTCTGCTTCGTCCAACACAAATACAGATATCTTGCTTAAATCAAAGAATTTGAATTTTTGCCCCCAATCTAACACTTTACCTGGAGTTCCTATAATAATATGTTCCGTGATCTTTGATCCACGGCTTACTGAAACAATTAAAGTAACATTAATTTTAGAGAATCTATTCTAATGGAATTTTTAAAAGTACGTAAGAAAATACATTACTTTCTTCTCCTCTTACAGCGTACTTTATTTTTATCTCGGGACAGAAGCGCGACATCTTTGCTGCTACTTCACCGGTTTGAATTGCTAGTTCATAAGTTGGTGATAAACAAAGTACTTGTGGATATTCCTTTGTTACATCTACTCGACTCAACATGGCGAGAACGAATGCAGCTGTTTTACCCGTACCAGATTGAGACTGTGCAATCATATTCTGTGGTCTAAAAAAATTTTTGCATGCAAATGAAATGAATTTGCATAAAAAAGTCAAGGAAACCAGAAGCAATTGATGCCAATTAATGCTTACGGATCGGCAAGTAGAGTAGGTAAAGCAGTTTCTTGAATTCTTGATGGTGCGTTAAATCCCATAGCATAAACTCCTTTTAATAAGGCAGGTTTGCTATAAGATAAAATAAGAAAAAATATTTATAATTTGTAATTAATAGGTATATGTATAAATGTAACACTGAATTAGTAGCAAATATAACAAATTCAGACAATTTATTTTACAATATTAAAAATTATAATACTATAATATTACTTACAGATGAAGTGCGTCAAAAGTTTTGACGCTAAATAATGGAGAATTTGGGTCCTTTCTTTGAACCTCTATATCTTTCGTCGTTTCCACTAATCCTTTCCTTATAATTTTTTGTAAGAGTGATTTCTCCGCTGGTGAGATTTGCTCCTCAGATGTATCATCATCACTCTTCGGATCTCCATCTTTAATGGACGAAGCAGGTATGGATGTCTGCTTTGGTTTATCCAAGTTCAAATCTGTCACCTATATACATATATATAAAACATATAATAAGTGACTGCATTAATTTGATATCAGTGGTTCACAGATTATCTAATTTCTTTGAAGATAGAAATGCAAATGAAAACAAGAAACAAATCAGCCATACGAGAGCAGAATTATCATTCATATGGAAAATAATAAAAAACAAAACGTCATGGATCTAAATGCGAACTGACAGTGATATCTTGGGAGTAATTAAGATCATGAAATGAGTCTTGTAAACATCAAAAGGTTCGCGCTCACACGTATCCGAAAAACAGTCCCGTCTTACCTTTGATACCAATTTGTCTTGTTCATCGGTGTATTGTCCCCAATCGACTTTAGTTGAAGCCATATCCGTTGACTTCCCGGTCGGTGCTCGTGACGAGGGAACAGTGTCTCAGATCGGTTTTCGGACTAAACTTGGAAATTTCAAATATATATCTGCCGTCCGTTGTACCGTTCTACAAACTTACTCATACGTGTTATAAACAGGTGTACGCTGCTATCGATTGGGAATATTCGAGAAAATTCACGAATATTCACGTTATTCCGAGGTGAAAACCGAGGTTGACCGAGGTTATCGGTAACGCGAAAAATCGCACGCGACGCGAAGAATGAACTGACTGAGATTGAAAAATGGAAGCTAGCGTGCTTAAATTTGTCCGCGTTATCAGCACTTTCTGCACTCACGTTTCTCATTCTATCTTTCTTCGATGCCCGCTTCCTCCCATATACGTCCATATATGTCCGTTTCATTTTAGATGCAAAAATACTAGGAGGACAAGCAACGCGAACATAAGGATTGTTCTTTTCGACTGAATTTCTCGCGTGGTTCATCTTTCTTCCTTTTCTTTTCACGTTGGAGAGAAAAAGAGAAAAGATGAACGGTAGAAATTCACCTGAAACGAACAGACTTATAATTATGAAATAGATTAAACCCGGAGCGGGCGTATACGACAAATTTTTAAACGTATTGATTGGCTCAAAGTTTTTTTTTTATTTTAGCATATTAGAATTGAGTAGCCACTTCCATTTTCTGGCACTGCCGATAAAATCCCATTTTGATATGCGTATTAATCCTACAATTCGCAGCTACTTGATTCCAATATGTTAAAATGGTGCTGGGGGTTGCTAATGTACGAGGGTTCGATTCACGAAAAAAGTTGAGACGGCAGATCTCAGGCTTCTCTTTGACCTAATTGATTATTCTCTAAATGCTTCTTAGATTTAAAAGCCAGTTGCGATTTTTTATTTAAATTTAAAAACTCAGAATTTGTATTATTAATTCATTATTTCATCAATACTTATATTAATCATCGTCTGCATAAATCATATTGTCTAAGAAACGAAATACTTGTAGTAAAAGATGAAGGCAAGAAAAAACTTGTATTATTTGAAAAATATATTAACATTTTTTTTTATTATTGTATATGGAACAAGAAACTGTTATTTCGCGATAAAATGAATCATGCAAAGCCACGCACAAATTTAATTGTGCAATTTTTATTATTAAAATTTTATTTTAATAATAAGATATTAACATTTTCTATTAAAACATACACATATGTTAAAGAAAATGTGTTGTAAATTTAATAAAATAGATGCAACATAAGAAACCAATATCCTAAAAGTAAATTTGTATAATTTTTTATACTAGATATATTATTATTGGCTATGTGTTATTCCGATGTATTAAAATTATTTTATTTAATAAGCATATTTTTTTACTTAAATATAATAAAAATGTTTATTCTACATCAATTTAATATTCTTCCATGAACAATTGATCTCAATAGAATGGAATTTTATTTCCGCTCAAAGAACATATTTTATTACCATTATAATAATCTACATACAATTATTGCCCTCTTGTTATATTGGCATATTGTTGCGAATTTATTTTATATGTAAATTATTACATATTATACGAAATATACAACTTCTCGTCATATGTACAGGTGAATCCATAAATAATCAATCACATATTCAATATATGTCTGAATGTTTCGAAAATTATCATTTATATCATTTGTTGCATTGGAAACTGAATCTTCTATAATTTACAAATTTCTGCAGGTATATATTTTAGGGAATGTATATATATGTATATATCATGATTATATGTACATATATAATCATGATATATATATATGTATATATGTATATATATATATATATATTATTTTTTTTTATATCTCTGTTAAGTAGGTTTGCTAAACCAAACGAAAGAGATATTCAGAAATCATGATTTATATCGAATTAACATTAAAGATATACTGAGGATGTCTCGAGATTCTTTTCTCTCCTCTTTAAGATTTCTTCGCGATTGCTGTGACCGCTTTATTCCCGGGTGTGCTTTGCGGCACAAGACGAACAGTTATCAGCGATAGATCGAGCATTTTACGCTGGTATTTCTTGTGAAACACCATAGCGGCGGATTGCGTCTTAAACACAATGGTCGCATTACCCTCGCCCATACGTATGCTCTATAACACGAAGAATAGAAAAAACACTGGTTATTAAATTATCGAGTATAAACCATTTATTTAAAATAAGCATAAAGCAAAAGAAAACACGCAGTAATTTTTAGCCTGATTCTTGGATATTTGTCTACGCTATTTATATTTTCAAAATAAAAACAATCACAATGAGTTTTGTAGGATTCGTGCATGTTTTCATTACACTGGCTTCAAATCTATATTATAATAGAAGTTTACATGCTTTGTTACATTTCCAAAGCTCCTAAGTTACATTCTACATGTAAGCAAGGAAGAAATAATACTGGAAAGTATATAAACCATATATATAAATAAAATTTGATTTCGAATATATTGAATATCATGTAATGTAACAATGTAATGTATAATGATTTATCATAATATCCATAAAATCATAAAAAAAATTTTGTTCCAAATAATTATATTCCAATATTTATCTATTATAAATATTATAACAATCTTTCTCAAATAAAATAAAGAAAATTACTACCCAACTCGATATAAGACAAATACTTCACGTAAAAAAATATGTATTATAAAAAATAACTGACATTCTTATTTCTTATTTCTCTAATTATAATATATATCTTTGGAATGATGTAATTATAACACGCATCTTTGGAGTTAATAATAGCAAAATTAAAAACTAAGGAACAATACCTTAAATGTAATATATGATAAATACATAAAGTAACAATTTTTAATTTAACTTTAGTCATTTTTAAGTAAATTATGTAATGGAATAATGCATTTGATACTTTGCATCTTTGATATTTAAATTTCTCTGTTTTGAATAAGACCAAATAAAACAGTTTTATATAAAAAATGTATATGTATATAGAATGCATGTAGAATGTATACAAAAATAAACTCTATGACATAAATCTGAACGCAATTATTTTTCATAATCTTAATGATAAAGAAAATATATGAATGTGCGTATAATAAAAGTGAGAGGGATTAATAGAAGTGCCAGGTGAAACGTTTTCATGTAAATATAGTCACCTCAATGGTTCCGATGGCTTGACACATACGTCTGATTTGGGCTTCAGACGTGCTCGCGGCCAAATTTTCTAATTTAACCGTATTTGTCTTTATCTCGGGTGATTTTTTCACTTGAACCGCAGACTTCTGCAGGACGATTCGCTGGGGATTTTGCTGTGTATTCGTGACTTTCTGACTTTGAGCAGTTGCACTATCATTAATTACAGTTTTCTGCAGACCACCCGGTATTTTATGCGCTATCACTCTCTGAGTTACAGATTTCGGTCCGGCAATCGCAGGTTTTTGTAATGTATTACCCTGATTTTGCAAAATCTTTTGAGTCTGTACAACTTGTGTGTTAGACACTTTCTGCTGCAATCCTGGATTCTTCTGCAGATTGGAGACAGTTTTTTGTATCGTAGTAGCAACTTTCTGTAGAGGCTTTTGTATCACGACTCTTCGTACACCAGATTGTTGTACCACTTGTCTTGTCTGAACAGTATCACTGGCTTGATTAGTCATGTGTCCAGAATTAGGTTTTGGACCAGTCGTGTCTGATAAATCATTGGTTTGTATCGTTCTGATAATTCGCACGTTAGATGATCTATCTGACACCTACAACAAAAACATGTCATTTTAGAGAAAAATAAAATTATGGAAAATAATTACATTTAATCACATTAAAAAAAATGTTAACGATATCTTAAAACTAGTTTTAATTTCAGGAATTCTATGTCTCCTAATATAAAAACAAACAATAAGTTTAGAAATTTGACAAACTTTGAACTTTAAAATTTATTAATACATATCTCAGATGAAGGAAATAAAAGAAACATAATTTAATGAAAAAGTATTTTATTGAAACATAAGGAAAATGTACAATTTCTAATTCTTCGTATAAAGAATGACGTGATATTTAAAATGTATATAGTTCATTGCAATGGTAAAAATGGAATTCTTTTCTACTAATCTTCAATGAATATAATTTTGTTCAATCTAAATAATCGATCTATTCACTTTTTACATGTATGTAAGTACATCTATAATTTATATAACACTTTGTAAAATGCATTAAAAATACTATTATTGACTCACATATATCTCTGTTATTTAATTTAACTGATATAGAAATAAAAATTTGTAAAAAATTTTTTATACACCTTTTTACGTGTATTATAGGTACACGCGCATATACACATACATATGCACAAGAAAAAGAAGAGATACATATTGTACAATTGACATCTCATCTTATTGTTCATTATTAAGAAATCAATAAAGAAATCAAATATACAAAGATTGAAAAATATAATATATATACATATATGATACATTTAATGATGTACCTCTGTACTCTGTGTATTAATAGGACGATTGCGTCCTTTCGCAACACCAGGGCGAGTTTTAATTGTGCTGTCATTTACAAATCCCATCAACGTTGATACAGGTTTTGTTTCTTGCTGTATATTTTCGTTTGCTAAAAAATTTCAGTCACATTGTTATAAATCAATAGCGAATGAGGAAACACGCTACAACATTTATATATAATTACACGACAGATATAGAAATAATGATTTAATTTACCTGTTACAGCATTCAAATCGGTCTTTGCATCCTCATTTTGTTTCTCTATCGCGGCCATTTTACGTCTATTCTCCTTCTCGCGCAACAATTTTTCCCGAAGACGTTTTTGTTCTTCCATTTTCTTGCGATATTCCTGCATTTCCGGATCATTATCTTCATCCTGAGATTATAGTTTTACGATACACACGTTTAGAATCATTTGCTCTTCAAAAGATACTGTTCGTAGGAAAATGAAAATCTTACCTTATCAGCTGTGATTTCACCTACTGTATCCACTCTTCGCACCTCTTGAAGATTTCTGTTGGGCGGTTTATTACGTTTTGGACTCAATTCCCGAGGTCCTTTATCCGAGGATTCAGAAGTCCTCTTTTGAGATGGCCTGTTTGCTCCACGAGACGTAACATTTATCGGTCTAGATTTTTGATCATAAGAATCGCCGCGATACATACTCGGTGGCGATCTATTTCTCTGCACATGATCATTCCTTGTTCGTAAAGGCAAATCTCTATCCCGATAATTTTGGTGAGATCCTCTATGATCCTGACATCATGATAAAACAATAATAAGCATTGAAAATAGACAAGATAATACAATTATTACTTAAAAATTACAATATGTACTTCTGTATAATTGTTTCTTTGATCCCATTGGCTCTCCGATTTATATTTGTTATCATTATAGCTACTTTCTCGGGAATAACTGCTATCCGAGGGATAATGCTTGGTCGGGCTCATATTTTGAGATCTTTGTGGTCTATTTTCTTGCCACACATCAGAAAAATATGCATATGGATCCTGTGATAAAATTAAATAACTCGCAATTTACTTATTCATTATTTTTTCGCTTCACTATGTTACATTATGTTACTTACATCACTTTTATTTTGCTGATAACTCTGTTGATACTGCGACGAACCTTGCTGATTATAAGATCCTTGACTTTGATAGGATGAAGGTGGTTGTGAAAATTGTCCGCTGTGAGAAACTTGCGGTTGACCTTGATTAGAATCCCAGACAAGTCGAGCTGGATACATTTGTAAAAGACGAACATTATTGAAGATGTTAATCGATTACACAATCAAATTTAATATAGAATTAATTATATTCGTTAAAGGAGCTCACCATCATTCGCGGGTTGGACAGTGCCTCTGAAATGAGGATTGATTAAAATTTTGTGGCCTGGAGGCAAAGACACACCGTGTGACACGTTAGACGCCGACTGTTGTGGTACCGGCTGAATCGTATTATTAAATTGGTTATTGGGTACTTGATCAGGATGGTAACCAGCCCTCGCATCAAATACACTCCGATTCTCGAATTGCGGCTCTTGAAACGGTGGCAGTCTGTTCTGTTCGAAGGGTGGCTGACTAGGCATTTGTACGTTTGGCGGCAAATTCTGCATGGGCGGACCCTGGGAGGGTTGCTGTCGTGGGAATCCCTGTATAGGTGGCATCGGTAGATTTCCCCCTGGTGGCAGCAAATTTGGCGGATTCCCAGGCAGTAGCACGTTCGGATTACCGAGAAGTGACCCACCGCCCGGATTTCCTTGCAACAAGGGCCCTTGATTACCCTGCATTGGCCGGTTCTCCTGCATAATGCCACCTGGATTTTGGAATGGCGGTTGCATCGGCGAGTGATATGGCGGCTGATTGGGTGGGCAATTATAGTTAGGTCCCTGCATGGATCCCGCCGGTAAGGAACCTCTGGGCCCGTACTCGAGTAATCTCGAACCGATCGGCCGCGGTCCCAAAGGGCCCTGGAACTGTCCGGGATTGAACTGCGGCCTATTCTCCGCGAATTGGGCCGGCGGCCCTTGGATCGGACCATTCAGGCCGAAGGGCTGTTGAAAAGGTTGTTGTGGATTAGCTTGTTGGTACATTATCTGCTGATTTTGTACGTTACTTGGTACAGCGAGAAGACACGGTGGTCTGGTCTCTATTAGCGGCGGTCTGCATACAAGTGGCTGATTATCAAAGTTATTCGGTCGTACCGTACCAAACCTACAAAGATGAAAAGCACTGTCTTAAAACGGGGGAGGGAAAAAAAAACATATATATAAAAACTATTTTTCTCTAATATTCCATTGTGAAAGAGTTACTAATTTATTGTTAAAATCTAAATATTACCTTGGATTAAAGTTTCCGGTATTTTGTACGTTAAATCTTCCTCCTCTGATTCCTCTTGTTCCGCGACCTCGTCCTCTTCCTCGAAATGGCATCCTAGATGGTTCAGACGTGACGACGTTCTCCAAGGTATCCGGGATATCATTGTTCATCTTCGGAGAAATCATCGTACGCTCGTTTTGAAATCTGTTCCGTCTTTCCCTCGCCTCCTCGCAATCGTCGTCCTCCATCCCTTGCCCGTTGCCGACGTAAACGTTCTTCTGCACGTTTTTCTGCAATTTCTCGCGCAGATCACCCTTGGCGATGTTATTAGAAACATTAACGTTATTGGATTCCAAGTTTCGATTTGACTGAGGCAACGCCTCGTGCTCGTTCGCGTACTCAGCATTCTCGTCTTGCTCGTAATACGACGTCGACTGTGCCTCCGGGTGTTCTCCATCCTTATAGAAATCGTTATCATTACGTTTATCAGTATTGCCTCTACTAAACTCTATATTTTCGTCCTCGCCATCTAAGTCGTCGAGCGCGTCCGTGACTCCTAAGTCCAGTACATCATCTGTTTCCTCTTCTCCCTTATAGCTATTCTGCTGCTCGGGGAATCAAATTGCCAGATATTTGTAATACAAATACAAAACTTATCCATATATAATGTAGTTATAATCTACATATCATTAACATATCTAAGATTGTGCGTATGTGGAATATCCTCCGTTCTGTGTGAGAAACATAAACGTGTCGGTACATGTATATACATTCGCACAAGTCCAAATTCTGCCAAATGCGTGTACGATCCTTTCGACACATAGGAAACGTAATGTTCAACCTCCGTCTTCTTAAAGATTTTCCGTCTGTTTGCTATCACACTTATCGATAAAGCATGCTCTTATCTCTGATGATGAATAATAATAAAGCATATCTTACAAACGAATCTAGTTGATGATCGCGACGAGCCCGAGTACACAGGGAGAAACGTAAATGTACGAGGTACTTTGTCGAGGAAGAAAAAAAATTCGTAATGTATATGATAAATAATGTGTTAATGTATAATAATCGAATGTACGATTTCTGATTTCATATGATTTGAATATGGTATATTTGCATAACAAAATCTCGCTTCTGCTTTAGGGAAGAAAATTTACATATCAGTGCGATACAACATAATTCATTTTAGTTCAATACACAATGATTTTACAACAAAATTTACGAATAGTACAAAATTTGCAAATGCATTTACCTTTTCAAAACTTTACTGTGTGTAAGATTCATAATACATTCATAGGACTCCATTATAATATAAATAAATCAGAGGTATAAACAATTTTTCATTACACTCAATCAGTATCAATTTCGAAATATGTATTAGCAAGAATGTATAATTTTGATTAACGTGAGAAAATTCAAGTTGCAATGAAATCAGAATATATCTTATTGCACATTGATATAACTGATGATTTTTTGCAACACCTGATCTTTATCAGATTTTTATCAGATGAGCTAAGGATGCTTAATACTAAAAAATGTGGTGTACAATTACGCATGAAAATCAATATATGAATGTGGTAAATTATTACAACCACAATCAACTCTTGTTCGAAATCGAGAAGACAAAATTCATAGGATGACAAAACATCGGAATGGCTTAATGTAAAAATCCACATTATAAAGTGTTCTGTAGAAGTAAGTATATTTAATATAGCTATTTATTTTCTTAACTACAAATATTTTTATTAATTTCTGAAATTTATATAAAAATAATTTATTCTCAAAAGATTTAACATTATAAAATACCAATGCTTTATATAAATAACAAATTGAGAAGAATTTGTCTTTTTATATGCAATTATATATTTTATATTGTTTCTCACATTAAACCACTCAAAGTAATAACTTTTTCAATGAGTAAAGTGAGAAATATACTAACAGAAATGTACAATTAGCAGAATATTAAATTACATATTACCATTACCAGTTGTCATTTGTTTAGAATTATGAACATTGTGGACTTTTTCATTTATCATCGATATCGCTTTATGTTGGTTCTTAACTTATAAAACTTATAATCGCATTTATACAACAGGTAAAATAAATACATGTAGCATTGATATTTTCAAATAAATATGTTTAATATTTGTCTAAATACACACAAATTCTTTGGTATTCATATGTTATGTTATTGCACTATTTAGAAACATTTTATAATAAATATTACTAATTATAAGCAAATGTAAGCAAATATATTTAATAGAAAAATATATTATCTTTGATCTTAAACCAAAATTTCAAAATAAAACATAACAAAACAATTTCCATTTCAAAAATTCTTTTTTAAAAAATAATTTCTTCAGTGGCCACTGTATTCTTTCTACCTGTATAATTTTATAGCTATCCTTTAACACAAATTACATGCTTACACCAAGCATACAATTCTCATATTGCAATGACAATTTTCACCAACATTTACATTTGAATGTAAAAATAAAAATAGTTCGCATTGAATTGTCAATCTTAATTCAGGTATTAATTTTAATTATTCCTGCCCATCTTATATTCATGTATAAAATATGTATTTTCATATGAAAAATATTCATTCATAACTATTGATAAAATTCAATTTCAATATGAAAAAATTATGTAGCATATGTGAATACATCTACATATGTTAAATGAAATATAATAGATGCACGCATTTTGAAATTTCTATGAAGTAGGATATCTGAATCAAATTTTTTTCCCTAATATAGTCAACAATTCCTTAATACAAATAATATTACATCTATATTGCGGTTTCTTTCATGCGTTTTTATGGAAATAAAACACACACACACACATATACATACACACACATACACGCACATATATATATATATATATACATATATATGTATAATATATATAAAAATTACAAATATCAATATATCATTGTTTAAAATTAAAGAATTTTACATTACATTATTTTATAACATTGATTGATATATTATTCTCTAATTTCGTTTCCTGGAATCTCTTCCAAAGAACATCCAAGTATTTTTAATGAAAGACAGAAATATAATTACTTTTAAACTTTACTTTGCACTGCTTCTTAATTATCGATGAATAATGATTAATTATAAAAACTATTTTAGATATAAATTAACACACAAAAACAATAGAGATCTAAAAATGAGATAATTTCTAAATTATCATTGTACAAAAGAAAAGCATAATTGAGATTGCCAAATATATCAAATGAGTGTAAGATTTCATCCGGTTGAAAAATAATGGGCAAACAATATGCTTACCCTTTCTAATTCATAGTCATCTGCTAGGAGAGCTTCCTCCTCGTCATTACCAAGATCGTATTCCTCATCTCCGAGATCTTCGTCCAGTAAAGTATCATCACTACGAAAAAAACGAAATTTTCTTTTTTATTTTCACGAAAAAGCATGATTCCGAGCTTTGACGGGAGGAGAAGCCTCTGGCACCTAAGTGACAACATATACGTCATTGTTCGAGGCGTTCGCGATCCTAACCTGTTCATTTCGAACGGGAACGCCATCAGGGCGATTCGAGGCGATCACTTCTTACGACAGTCTTAACGGAAAACTACGCGAGAGAAAAGGGGCGAGAAATAGCCACGTGATTTTCGGAAATACGAAATAAAAGTACTTACTGCTCTGACATTATTAATTACAACTTTTCGTGAGACAGAACAAAGCCGAGGAGCACCGAAGAGTTCAAATCGAGATGTAGCAAGGCAGCTGATAGATCAACGTAAAGCGTAAACCTAAGGGCCTCTGCGCATAGAACGCGTCGAACGCGTAGAACGAATATAAAATTCCTGTACACAGGTGCGTCACGCTAGGGAATAACGCGTCGACCAATGAACAAGTTGACGCGCCTTATATATAGGTGCCGTCATTGGTCAACGCGTTAAGCAGTATCAGACTAGAGATTGAGATTAAAATGAAATTTAACCAATTAGAAAAAAGAAAACCAATTTTAAGTTTAGTGAACTTTGTTCGAATTGGTCAAATTTTAATCTCAATCTCTAGTCTGAGAACGGTTTTATGGCTTTCTCAAGAGATCAATCATGTAACTTTACGTGAAATTTTTCACTTTTCATTTTTCACTTTTTATTTTTCATTTTTTACACCTTGACATTTCACGTGAAACTTTTCACGTACAGCGATTATGTAGCTTGGATATGTGGAAAGTGAAATCATGAAACATAGGTTTTATAGCTAATGAAAATTATTTTATTGGTACAGTATTATATACATCTTTTAATAACCAATTATATATGTACTACGTACACTTAATTACGCAGCCCTAATCTTCTCTAATTCTGAAGCATATTTATTAATTCCCTAGATTTCCACCTTTCCGCCATCAAGGTACATGGCAAAAAAGTTCACGTGAAAAATTTTACATTTTTACGTTTAAAAGAGTTACATGATCCCGCAAAATCGTACATTATCGTAAGTTCACGTGAAACTTTTCATTTTTCACGTTTCCGCCCTAGGGGAAAAGTTACATGATCGACCCTCAGATAGGACGTGGATCCCACGCTAGGGATTTGCATATGAATCATGCGTTGACCAATGAACATTCTGATTTTAACGGAAAAAAAAAAAAATATATATATATATATATATATATATATATATATATATATAATAAAGAA